AATAATATATAATAATAATGTTATAAACTTTTAGTGTAATCTATACTAATATTATATAGAGGTTTATTTGTTTACAATAATCCAAAACCGAAAAAATACTAAATCGATTTTATTCTTTGGAAATTTCTTTCACATATAGAAAATTACTTTACCAGTAATTTAAAAAAATATTATGTTTAAAAATTATTAATATAAATTATTATCCATAAATTATTTTTAATAAATTAGAGATCCCTATAAAAATAAAATAATGTATCTTCTATCAAAAATTTGCCAATTAAAGTTAACATAAAATATTAATTTATTTATTTATCTACTCTTACGAAGTCAATTTGACTAGCTTATTCGTAGTACTTAATATAAACATTCATAACTAGATTTATTTAATATAGGACTTTGACACCGTGCCTAACAAGTGTTTGTGAACAATTAGTGTACATTTCTAACTTCAATATGTAGTTATAAGTAATTAACTAACTTATTACATATATTTTCATTTGAGTTCTTTGAACGTCAATCTACCTATTTAAATTAGAAACGTAATTACATACACATAAGTCATGTACGATAATATTTGACACTAGTTTTCACCTTCGACTTTGTCTGCATAACCGGGATAAACAGTATTTACATCATAGAACTCTTTTACATTGCTTATGAAACTATTTGTGTTTTAAATGATTAAATATTATAAAATTTACAAAATCATGATAAAAACTAGCGTACGTCTTTCAGATTTAGAATATTACGTGTATATTAAAGTTTAAAAAGAGTGAACGAGAAAAGAACATTAATTAAAATAATAGAGAATAGAAGAGGCAAAATGCTGGGCCACCTTATACGACATGACGATTTTTTTAAGAGCATAGTAGAAGGAAAAATAGAGGGCAATAGAGGAAGAGGAAGACCGAGGAATAACTACATGGGACAGATAAAGGAAACACTAGGCGTCATGTCGTATAGGGAGGACAAGGATATGGTCTGGGATAGAGCTGGCTGGAAGAAGATGCATGAATTAGTTGCACTGACAAGAGGAAACTCTTAAATAAAAAGAAGAAGTTAAAGTTTATAACTGGTTGATGATCTATGTGTAGAGGTAATAAACAAACATATTCGTTTTCTAATTTAAAACACTTGCGATATTACTGTAAATTAAATTCTCAAAGAGGATTGTCGTCAGGCAGGCGGCCGGGCTTTTTTTTTTTGATGGGTGAAAATGGTATGGTAACCCCGCCTGCGCTAACGGGATACGCTGGCGGAGCACCAGTGAAGGGTGACAGATGAGAATGAAAACCTATCATGATGAATTCATCAGGATTTAATCATGATAGTTTCCAGGGGGAACCGCGAGGAGGTCGACCTGGTCGGGTATATTGCTAGCAACGGGATTCTCAGTTTCCATTACTAACAATCCCTTTTCCGGTCGTAAAACGATAAGCCAAATCTTTTTTTAATATGGATAAAAATTCATATTACGCCGACCCTAAGTAATAATTGGGATAAGGGAAGGAAGATGATGATGATGACAATAAATAAAAATAAAAATAAAAAAATAAATTAAATACATTTAAAATTCCATGTTGACGAGTAGTCAATAATATAATATAATCAACTTTATGACACAATTTTTAATATGCATTATGTTAACTAACACGATCTATTCCTTAAAACTGTATTCATTAATAGGGTCTCAAAAAATATTTACTTTTCTCAGATTTCTTTGTCAAATTATTCAACAAAAATCACGAAAAAACGAACAACCTGTATCTGCATATTTTTTTTTACACAAATTCACATCTCCCCTCTTAAGGAGAGGAGATGGCAAATTAACCCCTAGCAGAAGCACAGTCGGCCGGGGTTCAGGGTCCCAGGGAGAGAAACCGTCGTACAATGCGGGCAGTATCTAAGAGCACCGCTTTCTGCATCTTTCCCGGGAGTGAGCCGCCTCGGAATCCCAGCCGTCTGAGATGTTGTTTCAGACTGGTTGGGATAAGACCGTTCACGTTAATATTATTTTTATTATTAATATTTCGTCCGTTAACAGTCCACTGCTGAACATAGGCCTCTCCCTATTGGAGAAGTTATGCCAGTAGTTGCCACGTTTGGCAGGCGGGTTGGCAACTGTAGTTAGGTTTTTAGAGATATTTTAAGAGGGACGTTGCTGCCCATACCTCGCCCTCACTGAGTCGCGTCTTTCGATACCCACGGGAAATGAAGGGGGGGCCCATTCTATGCCGGGACCATACGGCGATTATTTTATTACCGTACTGTGTGTTATTTTAGTTACAGTAAAATGTACAAAGCGTATTAATGCAAAATTATATTAACTCGTCCTTAACTTTCATTAGAAATGGAAAATGAAATGTGTACAGTTAATATTTTTACAGCTCAATCGACTTTGGATACAATCTAATACTATTACGCCACTATAACTCTTAATACGAGGTGTTAAAGCTTAGTTTTCAACGATTAAGTATATGTTAGTGCGATGTTTGACTTGCGTTGCTATGGTTACAATATCAGTGAACATCTCGCGAGCGTGGAAATATCGCTGTTTCGGTCATTGGGTCATTGATCCTCATTATATACCGTTATTTCAATGCTCCAATCTAATTAAGGACTAAAAATAATATTTAACTCCATAATATAATTCACCAGAGGGAGACTTTGTACAAAAGTCGATTGCTTGGGTACCTCTGTCCCATTCGTGTTTCAACCGTGAAGCAGTTGTGTTTGCATGGCTGTGTTTCGGTTTGAAGGGATATGGCGTGAATTTACTGGGTACAGAGGAATAACACCTGAGTCCCCACCATGTGGGGTATCATGAGCGAAACAGTATACTCTGTTATGTCCATGGTACTGCTCATATTTATAGGCGACGGTTACCACTTTCCATCAGGTGGGCCGTCAGCTTGTTTGCCATTCTAAGTTGTATAAAAAAATTGTTTATTTTCTTTTCTTTTATTTTTATTTTATACCACGAAGATGGCTAAAGAGCATTCAGCTCGTCTGATGGTAAACAATCACTGTAAACAATGGATGCCTGCCGCATTAGAGGTGCGCTTTTTTTTTCTTTTTTTTTTTAATAATAAAATATTTTTTATTGGATGACAATGGAATGTTGAGGTCGCCTGCATTACTGGTATACACTGGCGGGGTACCAGTGAGGGATGGTAAGTAAAAATAAACCAGGTTCAAGCAGGTCAGTTAGCCCATCGTTAATTTATTTATTAAATGTTAAATATTCGCATATCTGTAACCACATAAAAAAAGTTAAAAGTATTTGTAACAGATATTTATATAAAATGAAATAAATTTAAAAAATAAATAGTTTAAGTAGGCTTTTTTAATGGATGAGAATGGAATGATAACCCCGCCTGTACTGACGATTTAACATTGGCGTGGTACCAGTGATAGAAGATAGGTGAGAAAGAAAGCAGGTCACTTGGCCAGCCGTGAAGAATTCCATAAGGTGTAACCACGATGGGTACCAGAGGGTTCCCTCTAGGTTCATCGTGGTTAACCGCAGCACGTGGAGGACGTTTGATATTGTTAGAACCCATCACTAAAAGTCCCTTTCCCTCCCACCTCTCTCTCAGTTTCTTTCTTGTTTTCAATGGGTACTTAGTTAAATGTGTAGATACTAAAAATATTATTACCCGAAAGATGGCGACATAGTCTGCATCGTTAACTAACATGAAGGTACAATCAATCAATAATGAAAATGCTTGAATATATAAAAAAGAATCTCAACTTTCTAACGATAGCAGTGTAGTTTCGTTAAATAAACTATTCGATACTAGATGGCGGTATAAGGCTGCATTTATAATAAAATCATAAAAATTGTGAATAGTAAAAATATTTAAGAGAATAATGTATAATCAGAACCCAAAACTGCAAAACCGTAGTTAGGAAATTGTTGGGTTCGTTAATTTTTTTTTTATTAAGTATTCTTTGTGTAATATTATAGTTGGGTACTTATTCGCGACTCACATGTTCCAAGAATTAATTAACTATTGCTTATGTTAAAGAGAATAGTTTCAAAATATAAGTAAATATGGAGATTTTCATTTCATTAAAGTTATATATCTAAAGGTACATTTTTGGACTCATGTTGAAAACTTAATTAATTGAAAACAATAAATGTATGAAAAAATTTTATTTACGAGATATCAATTTAAAATTGTATGTACACTTATTGAATTTATTAGGCAACACTTCAGATACGAGTATAAAATATTTAAAATCCTATTATTATTTATAAAAATGCAATTAGTCCTCTAAAAGATATCTTCTAAATGTCATAAAATAAGCAATGTATGGTGTAGCCTTAAATACAATAAAAAAGAGATCATTTTCGCTTGAACTCTGCTATACCTACCTAGATAGATAGATTTAATTATTTTTTTATGTCTTTATGTATTCTAAGAAATGTCTCCTTGCTGGGACAATAAATAGTATGTTTGACGTTTACTTGGCGTAATGGCGTACTTAGTATGCGACTTCTGTCGTATTCTACTTTGTTTTATTTAATCAACTTGAGGCATTTTTTTTTATACGACTTAGAATGGCAAGCAAGCTGACGGCCCACCTAATAGAAAGTGGTAACTGTCGCCTATAGACATGAGCAGTACCATGGACATAACAGAGTGTACTGTTTCGTCCATGATAGCCCCCATGCGTTGACATTCCTGAGGACTCGGGTGTTATTCCTCTGTACCCTGTAAATTCACGCCATATCCCACCCTTCGAACCGAAACACAGCCATGCAAACACAACTGCTTCACGGTTGAAACACGAATGGGACAGAGGTACTCAAGCAAACGACTTTTGTACAAAGTCTCCCTCTGGTCAGTCTGCGAGTCGTGTGCCTTACGTCCGTAAGGTCTCTTGCCAATCTGTTATGGTATTTTGTTGTCCCCTCCTTGTAGGATTGTGTGTGCTGTTGTAGTATTTCCTGTCTAACGGTTTTTTTTCAGGATATAATGAAACTGCAAATGTGCCGAAGTATTTATTTATTTATTATAAGAGAATATTAATACTTAGAATCAAAGTATTTTGTTCTTACAATTAATTACACAGCAATTCATATAATAAGATGTTTCAGTTAAAATTATGTACTCGTTTATTTGTTACATTATTTTCATTAAATAAAAGTATAATATCTACTGTACAAATGATTAAGATTGATTTGGGAAAAATTACACTGCAATTAGATTACACTCTAAACACAGATATGAATTTATTTCAATTTTAAAATTAAAAAAATAAAATATTGTAAAGTTGAAAGTACAGAATGATGAGGCGTTTTTCTTTTTTTTTTTTTTCTAACAGACTAGTAATATATTGTAATGACTATATTTTAATTTTAATAATTAATAATTTTAATAAAATAATGTTATTCTATAATAATAATTCACATTCATTCTTGAATTACATTTAGGTACGACTGTAATTTGCCATGTAGCATATTCATTACACAGTACACTACCTTATAACATGTAGGTACATTGTTCAACACACTATGTGTAAAGCATTCTGTAAGCTTACTCCACACTCTTAGAGGTTCTATGGTAGATATAATATAATCGGTGCATTATAAAAATAAAATAAAAACTAATGATTAATAATATTAAGTTTACAACAGCCATAAAAACAACTCTGCTAAAGGTATACTTTATACACGAATTAATCTATCAATTCGTCGTTTAAATGCGAGGACTATGATGTGGCAGTTGAGGAATGGCAACGTATGACGGGCACCATGGGCGTCACAGTATACTCTGTGACGTCCACAGTACTGTACATGACGAGGTGTACGTGACGGTTACCATTTTCCATTAGGCGCACCGTCAGCTTGTTTGCCATTCCAAGTTTAACAAGAATAGTTAATTAAGAATTTTACCTTACAACTTAAAATATTAACATTCTGAAATAAATCTTAAATTACGTACGTATTCAAATGCCAATTATAAAGTACGACACGTTATATTGAATAATAATATTATTTTTTTAAATATATAAATATTTTATACACTGAATACGTTAATGATTAATAGAGGATGTAAATATAACATTTATTAATTATTTATTTTTATTTATTACAGTAAATATATGCGAGAACTTATTTGCAATCGTGTTACAATCATTCATTGAAAAATTCATTTATTCACGTACAATGATAAGGATCCGAATCTCTAAAATACAGTAATAACAATTATAAAGCACACACACACATCATTATGGAATGCCCATAACAATATTTAGTGTAATTTATTTTGCAATTAATACAATAAAAAATAATCTTACTGACTAGTTTTATAAATACAATATGTCACTGACGACGACGACGCTACGTTTATTTATATTTATATTCATTTTGATATAATTTTATGGAATTTAAAATTATGTAAATGGAATTTAATATTTTAATAACATTAATGAGTAAGAATGCGAATTTAAATATAAATAAAATCCATAGCATGCTTTAAATTACGAAAGGAGTATCTACTCTTTTAATAAGTCGTCAATTTTATAAAGTTTGTAACGGAAATAAAATTAAAAATATTTATAATTAAATAGCAAGATTTATTAATTATTTTGAAATCAACGATATCCATCAAAGTTTAAGAATTAATAGTGAAAAAGAAGCATTACATATAAATGATTTAGCACGTGATCACAATTGTGTATCGGCCGTGCTTAAAAAAAAAGACAAAGTTGGTAACTTGAGTTGTCTCTTGGCTTACAAATATAATACAAAATGGTAAAGAGTTAGATAACGAAAGACTATCGATTCGTTTCGGCTGCTTTAGAACGAAAAGTGAAGGAAAGAAGCAATCGTGCATACAAATTGTCAGATCTCTCACTACGAACTACTCAATATGACTTATCGGCCGAGCACTTGGCTGGGCAGCACTACGGGAGAAGGTGACGCTGGCAACAAATCGAATTCTTCGACTATCGTCTTAGGGTGCAACGCGCTTATGTTGTTGTCTACCATATAAGTTCTCGCGTGTGTTTGTGCTAGGACAGGTCTCGGTTCGTTGACAAGCCAATCGTCGTTCTTCCCTCGCAGCTGGAGCCTTCTGCGTTTTGCTATCTGCACATCGCGCATCCGCGCGAGGCGTGCTAAATGCGTCTTTATTTGCTGTGGTGTCAACCCAGTCTTTCCAGATTTTAGTAGATCGACGTTGTATTTATAAGAGCCTTCAGGATCTGATCGCTTCCATTGGTAACTGCAATGCAAGTTGAAAATACAAATAAATATCTTAAGTATTCCAAAAATTTATTTGTTTCTGCTAAAAGATAAGTTTTTCCAGTTGAAGATCGATTCTAAATCAGATCAAATAAACGTTTATGGTCTATTAAGATGAGATGGGGCAATAAATGCTAACATAATGTGTTTAGTTCGTGACTAAAGTTGTTGGGAATTTTTATTAGATTCATCACGTATTTTACTCTACATTTATTAGGGTTCTTTGACATGAGAACGTATGTGGATTTTTATCCTACCAGGGAGACAAACATACATAGTTTGCACAATGGTAAATGAATATCGTAGACAATGGTCACCTGTATTAGTTATAGTCATAAGAAGAATCTAATCCATATATGAAACATAAATCCCATACACAAACCTACCCGTATTATTTCCTGTTAAATCTTTTATTCTCTGTTCCCATTATAATATAAAATATCTTTTGACTGATCTATGTCCCACAAGAAATCTACTTGATAAATTTCCGCTTCGTTGGTCAAACAGTTTTTGCAATTTCTTGGTTAGTATATGACAGAATTTCTGTTCTTATGTAGGTACCTTGTTAAATATATCAATGAAGAAAATATGTAAGTTTCCAAAATTATAATAAGTTCAATAAATTCAACATTTTAGATGTATTTTTCTAAGCTTTTTTGTTGATATATTACACCATACGTGTATCATTGATCACACACTTTAAAAGTGTGTGAGAGGAAAAAATTTACTAAGACTAAAGAAATTAATTGTATTTATCTTTTAGTGTAAATGTGTTAAATGTATATTATGAGTAATTTATTCAAGAACATTTGTTTGTTAATCGACAATGTTTGCAAATATTTTTTTTTACATGTATCAACGTTCTTGCATACTTTTCAATTTCTAAGCTTATTACTTTCTAGCTCTCATTTGATAGTAACACTTGCTCTATGTTTTTTGATATCTGAATCTGGCGTCATCGTTATAATTCAAAGAAGGTGTAGAAACTTACCCTTCGAATGGTCTCTTGAGTCGTCTATGAGCACCAGGTGGTCTCGATCGCTTTTTCAATTCGTTCTGTCTTGTTCTATAATTCTTCGGACGGTTTCGGTTTATTGCCGTCCTCGTTCTATTCCCTTTTGGATGCAGCCGAAGGGAGTTCGGTCGGAGGTCGTAGGATTTCGGATTCCTGTAGGGGTGCACGGTGACGTCATTGTTCCGGTCGTTGACCTCTCGGCTAACGCTCGGTGCGGTGATCTCGTTCAGCTGACCCATCCTCTGCCAGCGACGACGCAGTTCCTTCACTTTCGATTTCGGAACCTTACGGAGTTTCGTCTGGCAGATGAACTTGCGGGGCTCGAAGCAATTTTTTGGTGCCCACCTGAAAAATTAAATTGTTAATTGTTAAATTGTAAAGAATACAAATTTAGTTCGTTTGAAAATTTTCATCACAACAAAGATGATTTAGTAGCAGTTACAATAGATTTTTTCTTTTAATATTAGTTATAATATTAATAATTTAAACTCTTTCATTATATTCAAATTTCTAATCAAAATACAATGGTTAATTATAACAATTATGTATTCGTAGTTTAACTGAATTATTGGACCAATAGCTGATTTATGTTACTTTAAAGTTGAAATACAGAGAAATTTGTCTGCCTTTATAAAGTGATTTATTATTATTATATATGCAAATGCTAGTGTTGTATTATCTGTGCATAACTAACGATAATGGACGAGAAGTATTTAAAAAATAGTTTGTTTCGTTAGTATAAATATCCTTGGTTTATGATTATGGTTGGGCTAGTATTTGAAAAAGTATGAATGGTCTCACTTCCAACAAGTAGCTTTGCAACGCACTACAAATGATTTGAAACAATTACGAATTACTTCGCTTCATTTTTCAGTATTTCCATTGTAAGTGGTTTCAATTTGTTTTTTAATTTCTTTTTTTTTAGTAAAAGCCTTTAGTATCGCGATAATGGGAATCGAAAGGAAAGTTTGTGAAAGGGAAGACCTATAAATAGTATAATTAATTTAGTTTTTAAGAGATTCAGAATCTGAATTTAGAATTATAGTGCTCATAAACTATTTAGACTTATGTAATTATTGAATTTATACTTTAAACATGTAAACCATTAAAAATTACTAAAACGTACTGAGACAAAATTTGCATGTTTTTAGATAAGGCTAAATGTGTAGCTATGTTATCATTTAAGACTACATTTTAAGCAAATAAATTACTATTATAAAAAACTGAGAATTGGAATTAATTTGACCTCTTGCCTTGTGTACGAGGAAAGAAGACGCGAAGAATTTCGTATGAATAAATGGGATATCAAAGATATGAGGTTAGAAACATTTTTTCTCATCTGGTAGTCAGATGCTGAAATAGTGATGTAAGTACCAGGTAATAGAGTTCTTGATATATTGTCCAAAAAGTTTCTATTTAAGGCGCTTATCTCGCGTACCTCCGGAAGGAAATGGTTGTGGTTTTTGTATTAGCGTTTTTTATTGAAAGGGTAAATCACTTGCGTAGGTGTCAATGGCGTCACAGTATAATGTGACGTCCACAACGTTTATAGGCGACGGTTACCACTTCCTACCAGTTGGCAGCAGTCAGTTACGTAGTAACTATTATACTCTGTGTCGTCTGTTTATAATTGCTCAATCGTATAAAACTGTAACTAGGCTGTATGTTTTATCAGTTACGCTTACGCTTCCCGTTAAAAATACTGGACGCATTTGGAGGAAACAATGACAACTTATTATCTAGGATTACCTATATATATACCTATAGGGTCGGGTGGAAGGGATTGTTAGTAATGTGGGCTACCAATAAACCCTGTCAGGTCGACCTTCACGTGGTCCCTCATGAAAACCATTGTGTTGAATTCTAGGTGTATTCATCACGATGGAGTAACTGGCCTGTCTTTTCATTCTCAACTATCATCCCTCGGTACCTCTGCAGTGTATACCGTTAGTGCAGGCGGGGTTACCATTTAATTATCATCTATTAAAAAAAACATATAGTTTCGTTTTAGTATGATGAATATGTATTTAATGTTTATAAATTTTGCATTTTGACAAAGTTTTAAATTTAAAGTTTATTTTTTAATTATTTTTATACATGTTTTAAATATCCATTTAGATATTTAAAATATGTATAAAAATAATACATTTATGTAAAAGTGAGTTTATTTGTTATTTCTTGGTGCTTTTACAGCTTTATACAACGTCTCATTTCATAGTACATTTATTATGAAATTAAATATATCATACAGTACGTATTTTTTTTTATACAACTTAGAATGGCAATCAAGCTGACAGTCCACCTGATGGAAAGTGGTAACCATCGCCTATAGACATGAGCAGTACCATGGACATAACAGAGTATACTGTTTCACCCATGATACCCCCATGCGTTGCTATTCCTGAGGACTCAGGTGTTATTCCTCTGTACCCAGTAAATTCACGCCATATCCCACCCTTCAAACCGAAACACAGCCATGCAAACACAGCTGCTTCACGGTTGAAACACGAATGGGACAGAGGTACTCAAGCAATCGACTTACTTAACGTATGTACTGACGATGATGATGATGATAGGAAATAATATAGGCTACTTTTTATCCCGGACACGTGGATGAATTTGTCGTGTGGTCCATGCCCGGCATGGAAAATGAGCCACCCCTTCCTTTCTCGTAGGTATTTTAAGACGCGGCTAGAAAACTAAATAGGAGGGATGAAAAACAGTGTCCCACTTAAAACATCATTGAACCCTGACTGCAGTTGCAAACTCGGCTGCTAAATTTAGCAACTATTGGCAAAACCCCCCAAGGGCCTATATTCAGCAATGGACAGTCAACGGCTGATATGAATGCATGGTGTAGTTGCGGTAAAAGCTAGTATTGTTAAATTTAATAATTCCCTAGTTCAGTAGGTACAGTAACTAAAACGTTTCTAACAAAAATTAATTTATCCCATACAGGAATTAGGGACTTGATTTTATTACCAACGATGGTATTACTAAATCACTATAGAAATAAATCAAATTCCTTCGACAACAATAACGCCATCTGTGCGAAATTTTAGGGGAATTTAAGAGCGGCGCGGTAGGTAGGTATATAATACAATTGCAAATCGTAAAACTTTTAATATTGGTTTTCGTAGTATTGATTTTTGTAAGGCAATGTAGATATTAGATAAGTTAGAGCAGATAGCGGGAGCGAGAAAAAAAGAAGAGATACTCGTATATTTTATATATATATATATATATATATATATATATATATATATATATATATATATATATATATATATATATATATATATATATATATATATATATATATATATATATATATATATATATATATATATAGTACAGTAAGGCGGTCTTATTGCTGAGAGCAATGTTTTCAAGACAACCTTAGGGTAATGGACTAATTGTTGTACAAGTAGGTATAATAATATTGTATAATTATATATATTTAAAATGTAATTTATATATACATATATATATTCAAATTAATTATCAGGCTGTATATTATAAGAATTTAAAAAAATATATTCGATTAGTGTATATATATATATATATATTCTAAATAAATTAGAACGATATATTCTATCCATGTACAAAATTTCACTCACATCTGTTCAGTAGTGTAAGTGTGATTGTGTAATAAACAACCATACATTCTTACAAACTTTTGTAACCATAATAATAGTAGTAAGATTTCGTAAAAGGTATAAAAATTTTAAGTAAAAAAACTTCATTTTTTATAAATTTAAAGCAAAAAAAAAAAAGAAGAAAATTACATGTTTTTTAAAGTTGAAAATTAATGTCAGACTAGAATGCGAGTAAAAATTGTTCGAAAATGTTATTATCAAAATAACGTAATATACACAAAAATACATGCTAAATGGGAACTTTTTATTCGAAGAGGTTTAAAAAAGTCATAAATGTTTATTTGTTTGTTTGAAATTATATTAGATCGTTTGAAATTTTTATATGATTTCAATGAATATTGTTATTTTTTTTTCTTTACAATGCATGTGGATATTTATAATATTGTTTTTTTATTCATTAAAAATCCTTCTCGAAATTTCTACGGGAATGGGCGAAAACCAGTTTATCTAACAAAATCACAGAATTTCATAAATAAGTTACTCTGTCGCTACCTCTTGTCTTTTACACCAATTTGCAACCTTACTGGAATAGTGCAGTAGCAATATTGGATTCCATTAATTTTAGGGTGGTCCGCAGTTAGCGGTGATGGGATACCGTTTCTCTCATCAACATGGACACATGTTTAGTTTCGACACACTTTTGTGTACTGGAACTCTTGTTTATCGGGGAGTCACGTTCTATAGCTTTTGAGAGCTATTTATTTGGGTTGTGTTCAACATTGTCGTTAAATATAAGGAAAAATACTTAGACAACGGAACTATTTTTAACTATTCATTCTAAGTCTAGCAATAGTAATGACATAAAGTCAGAATTTTCGTGATCCAAGATAACTGAAGCTTATAGGAATTCAGCCAGAAAGTACAAGATCGTGCAGTCTGGAGAGAGATGGTAGCGTAAGCTTCACGCAATAGTCACGTCTTTCAGCTATGAGGATATGATAAAAAGGAATAATAAAAAATATATAAATGCTTATTCTTCATATGGTGACCATGCCTATCCTTTTCATCACCAGGACATCTATTGCTAAATTTGACTAGAAAAATAATGAAACAGTATGTTACTAGTAACTATAATAATATAAAAATACAAGTATGTATATAAAAAAAGACTGGCTGATTAACCTGCCAGCAATAGAGGCGTAGAGAGCAACAGAGCTATAGTATTAGTAAAATATATTGTTTTTATAAGAAATACTAAGGATTTTTTTATACAACTTAGAATGGCAAACAAGCTAACGGCCCACCTGATGGAAAGTGGTAACCGTCGCCTATAGACATGAGCAGTACCATGGACATAACAGAGTATACTGTTTCGCCCATGATACCCCAGGATGAGGACTCAGGTGTTATTCCTCTGTACCCTGTAAATTCACGCCATATCCCACCCTTCAAACCGAAACACAGCCATACAAACACAACTGCTTTACGGTTGAAACACGAATGGGACAGAGGTACCCAACAAATCGACTTTTGTACAAAGTCTCCCTCTGGTAAAGTGTGAAGTTAAACTTGTTATGAAGCTGAATTTTAAATTCTAAGTTCTTTGATATTAGAAAGATTCTAACAATAATAATTGAAGAGAATATTAAAGTAGTTGACTAAGCTGCAAGTTTGTAACCAAACTGTTGCTATGTGACAAATCTGTTAGTGGCAATCAATATAACTATTGCGTGTGGTTAATATGACACTAACAAAATATATGAGTGCATTGAAACAATAACATTATAAGTGGACAGAAGATCGTAGTAGGAAGGCATTGGAGTACACGCATCTAACATCTATTTTAATCGATTTTCAGTTACATCAAGTTGTAGGAACTTTTTTAAAATTCCTAATTTTTGGTAATGCTTGAGAACTGTTCTGTAGACTAAAGAGCGGATACGTGTTGTTTAATTTTTAGACTTTCGTGTTAAACCATATGGTTTATAAAGGACGGGAAATAACACGATCATATCTGTAAACTATAGTAGTTTACTTGGGTTTTAAACTATGGTAATTATGGTTTGTAAACTATGATAATTAAATTGGGTTATCAAGATGTTTCCTCTATTAACGGCGTCCTACACGTTATGAATAAAAAACCATCCCAAATTTTACGCAAAATCGCAGTCGACGGAGGATAGACGACAAGGACAATCTTTATTTTAACGTCCTTCCTAATTGCAAGTAGACAGAGATAATGAGAAGATGGCGAATCCCATATTGTCATACCTTTGAAAATATGACACTTTGTGTATTTTCGAAGGCGAGATGAAGTGGAATGTTTTTAGGGTATGTATTCCAAAAACATTAAATCCGAAGATTATGTATCGTTTGTCTTAAATTTCAATTTAATATGAGATATACACACCTATATAATAGCTCTGGCATCATGGCTATGCAGTGCCACTGGAGTTCGTCCGGAGAGAGCTTCTTCATCTTCGAAAAGGACTGGTAGTGCATCTGACGCAGCTCGCCGCCCCACTTCCAAGATTGGGAGCCATATTCGTAGATGCCCCCTATCCATCGGCTCGCAGAATCTGCAATTTATATAAATGAAAAAATGTACATAAATTCTTAAATTCCTATTAGTCCATTCAGTCTAGATAATTTTGAAGCACATATTTTAAAATAAATCTTTCTATATGGGTAAGTATGGATATTTGTAAAGTAATGATAGGACAAAAAGACAGCTGAAACAAGGGGAGGTAACAAAAATTTGATTGAATTATTTTGATGTCTAAAATGAATCATCGATCGTTTTAATATACACTAAAAAACTTTCTCCAGAAATTACGAGTCAAAACATGGAAACAATTTTTAACCTTCCAAATTACGAGTACATAGGTATTTCTATACTACATTTGTAAAGACAAAACTATTCAGCTTAGGATCCCACAGATTTCTGCAGATATAAACTTTCGTTTGGTGTAAATCTTATCAAAAAAGTATGATGGGTTTACTATTAATTTAATTTCTTATTAAAGAGCTATGTTCTTGTCGGTGGAGCTCGTGTCACTCACTACGATTTTCAGCGAGTCTCTTCACCTCTTGATACGACACGACACCAACTTTTTCCTTGATCTGTTTGATGTAACTATATCTCTTCTCATCCTTTCTTCTTACTAAATTTATTAAAGTTATTACATATTTTTATTTGGTATCACTAGGTTGTACAGAGTACAAGCAACCCAGGTGTAATGTATTATATTTTAACTCATCTTCTATTTAAACCAAGTTTCATTAGAACGTCTTTATACGTGCAGAAGTGAGGAGCGGGATCTTAGGCAAATTGTTGTAATCAAACCACTGTTGTAATAGATTCCTCAAGAAAAAATGTTCTGTTTCATAATTACTTCCATAGTAGCTATAGTAAAAAAGATTGAAGAATGAACATAACATATCTTATTACACAAAAAAAAAAAATCTTAAAAAAAACATGATATATGTATATTAGCAAACGTTTGTCTTTATCGACGACTGATTGTCTGCGAATAATTCGAAGTATCTGAGTCGACATCTTCCTGGAGATAAATGACTACTAGAAATAGAATCTATTTGCATCCATACTGACCTACAAGGTGTTTATTGAGGTAGGCACGTAGATTTCTGTCCTCCCATCGGGCAGGTACTGACAGGTTACTTTCTCGATCCTGAAACAATATAGAAAACATAATGTAACACGAAATTAAACGCTAAGATTTGATACGTCTGTCAACGAAATCGATTCATAGGTACAATTGTGAATTCCTAGATTTTGAGTGTTAGAGTAGGTATTACACTAACTTTTACCCGCAACTCCGTCCGCGTGACTGATTTTTTTTAATGGATGATAACGGAAAAGTAACTCGACCTGCGCTATCGGTATACACTGACGGGGTTCCAGTGAGGGAGAATGAAAAGGCAGGTCAGTTAGCCCATCACGATAAATACACCTGGAATTCAGCGCAATGGTTTCCAGGGGATCACACGAAGGTCGACCTGACCTGACCTGAGAGGGTATATTGCTAGTAATGAGACTGGTAGACTGTATTATTAATAATCTTGTCTTCCTCAGTGATGAATAATAGGTGAAGATGAAGCAGGCTAGTTGGCCCATCCTGTCGAATTTATAAGAATTAATTGTGGTGGTTTTCAGGGAGAATGAAGAGACCTGGATATCTTCCTAGCAATAGAGCCACTGCTCCCCATTACTAATATCTCCTTCCTCTGCATGTTTGGGTTATATTCACTGAACGGGATAAAAAGTAGCCTATATTTTTTTTGATGGGTGAAAATGGTATGGTAACCCCGCCTGCGCAAACGGTATACGCTTGCGGAGCACCAGTGAAGGGTGATAGATGAGAATGAAAACAGGCCAGTTAGCCCGTCATGATGAATTCATCAGGAATTAACCATGATAGTTTCCAGGGGAAACCGCGAGGAGGTTGACTTGGTTGGCTATATTGCTAGCAATGGTATTCTCATTCTCCATTACTAACAATCCCTTTCCCCCTATATTGCCTATATTCTTCTCCAATCCACATACTACGTATATACATAATTTCGTAGCGATTGGTTAAACCGTTAAGAGGTTAATTTATTTCTTATCTAATGGTGATTTGTTAATAAATTAAAAAAAAAAAACATAATTCTAAATAATAGCAGTAAAATAAAATTATATAAAATAGCATAATACGACCGACTAGTAGATACACACTACAAATACATTTAAGTGACTATAATTCAGCAATGAAAATTAGTAATAAACTTATTTTTGTCACTGTGTACTAAAGAAAATTGATGAGTTTGCACACTTGTTCATTGCGTAAATTACGCGTGACAAAACTGTTTACATATATTATTACGAATACACCGTAAACCATTGTGAATTATTTGTTTAACTAAACCTTGATCTATCAGAATGTGTGCGTTATGTGATTGATTGAGGTGCTACAACTACAACCTACTTTTCTCATGTTAAGATTTACATGGTAATGATAGGTATTATCATTTTTTATCACTATGTTGATTGTTGCGTAATATGTTTGTACATATCGCACAGTGTAATTGTTGGATTAAGATACACGCTTGCCCTTCGACGTGTAATAGGTACTTGATAAAGTTTCAAATACTAAAACAATTAAATATAGAACACAAATATTTCATTACCAATAAGTATTAAAGAAATTATACTTGCTGACGTGTTAAGTAACGATTTCAAAGCCTAGTTTCTTTTTTATACCATTGAGGTGGCAAACAAGCATACGGCCCACCTGATGGTAAGTGGTTACCGTAGCCTATGAACACCTGCAATAGCAGAGGTATTATGCGTGCGTTGCCGACCCTGAAGAAACCTCTTTACTCCCCTTTTGAAGAACCCCATGCTGTAGTCTCTTGGGAAAACCTCGACAGGGAGCTCATTCCACAACCTGAGTGTTCGTGGGAGGAAACATCTCTGAAACCGCGCAGTACGCGACCATTGAGGCTGTAGGACATGCTCCATTTAGAACATACGCGACCCTCTCTAATAAGTACATCATGTGATTTGTTTTCAACAAAGAATTTACCCATGAATTATCATAGAAATTTCGTAAATAAAAAGTTCAATAAAGTGACAATAATAACAACACATAAATAAATAAACTTTTGACGTTACCATACTAACTTAACAGACAGATGCACCGTGTTAGTATGAGTTCGAATTTGTAGTTTATCAACGCTTGTTCCTTTAAGAAAAATATTTAGTATATAGTAATTGGCAAAATGTCAGTCTATGGGGGAGGCTTATGTCCAGCAGTGAACGAATAATGGGTGAAATTATGAATTGGCAAAATCATTTCCTAAAAGGATGCTAATGATTTCAATTTAACCTTGCATATATAAAGTTATCTGTAAGTTAGTATAAAGCAAGCCGAAACCCACTAATAATATTCATGAAATTAAACTACTTTCTTTCTATTTGTTCCTTGGTGGAACAAATTTAAAATCTCAAAACAATATTTGAAATTTCTATACAAGCCACACAGTCACACGATTTAATTAGTAAAAGAGGTTGGAAAAATATTGTCGGAATTTGGCTATTCTTTTTAGACCAAATTGTTCAGTTTCATCAATAATCTTCGTTGGGTTTCGGATCAGTATACCCTTTACTAACCCTTGAGGCAGCACATGCTTTTGTGTGTTGGCTTATCAAGATGACAGATTACATAATGTACTCTCGATGTGTTTGATAGCCATCTTATCGGTTCGGATTATGTTTACCCATATCAAAGAAAGTCAGCCGACAAAGTATATATTTATCAGACATTACGTGTCTATATATTGGTGTGATGTCACTGCCAACCGCATTATTATTGGCAATTGCCCCATTTAGCCTAATGCTTGTACAAATACAATTTGTTATGTGTCGAACCATTTTGCTGGTGACACTCACATTAAATTGTTTACACAATATACTACGGCAAATAAATTGTCGGCCCACCTGTAGGAGAATGGGTACCGTCGTCTATATTCGTAAAAACTGTAGGTAAATTAATTTTGCAAAAATTTGCAATTATATTTTATTCACAATATAAACTTTGTATATGACCTAGATACAGAGCTGTGAGCATTGAATCACACCTAGGTCTGACGTAAGCTCACGGATAATGCACTTCATGCTTACATGCTTACAAGATAACCAGTAATTTATTATTGTAGTCAACTCCTAGTTTATACATATAAAGTAGGCTAGAATACCGAATGATTCAACTTAACGACACTGATTATAATTCTATATGCCTATTAATTCGCGTAGCTTCACAGGTGTATCAATTAATTATACTTAAATCTCTGACTTCTGTGATTTCTAATCTAATTTTTTTATTGTTTGTTAGAGCAAACGGCCATAAAGTTCATCATCAGCGGCATCTCTGATGAGATCGTTGCCTACGAACACTAGCAATACGCACGCTTTTTGAAAAGTTCTAAATTATAATGTAAAAGAAAAACTATATAAAAGGTACATTCCACAACCTAGATGTGTGAGCTAGAAACGAATGGGTTGTATTGTATGTACAGCGGTAGCGTGCCACGTATCCAAAATCTAAATAACTTGATGAAATGATCTAAACATGACTAAATAACATAAATAAGTTAAAATAATAACTTTAATGAAGTTTTAGTAGAGGTTTGTCAATTATCCACTTTTCGACATACCTCTATAATATTTTAATGTACCTCTATAATGTCGGATTATTAATCTTACTCGTATATATAAAATTCTCGTGTCACGGTGTTTGTTACCAAACTCCTCCGAAACGGCTTTACCGATTTTTATGAAATTTTGTGTGCATATTGGGTAGGTCTGAGAATCGGCCAACATCTATTTTTCATACCCCTCAATGATAAGGGTGACCCTCCCCAAAAAATTTATTTTTTTATTTTTTTGACAATCTTTCCATTTTTATTTTATTATGATTTAGCATTGAAAAATACATACAACTTCAAATTTTCACCGTTTTACGATCAACTCCTATTTTTTAATCGTGATTTTTATATGCTGCAATAGGTTTGTAAGATGGCAATCCAATATAATAATTGTAGAAACCTCTTTACCCCCTTTTCGAAGAACTCCATACTGTAGTCTCTTGGGAAAACCTCGGCAGGGATCTCATTCTGGAATTTGAGTGTTCGTGGAAGAAAACATCTCCGAAACCGTGTTGTACGCGACCTTTAGGCTGTATTTTCTTTTTGATGGGTGAAAATGGTATGGTAACCCTGAGCTAACGGGGTACGCTGGCGGAGCACCAGTGAAGGGTGATAGATGAGAATGAAAACAGGCCAGTTAGCCCATCATGATGAATTCATCAGGAATTAACCATGATTAGTTTCCGGAGAGAATCGCGAGGAGGTCGACCTGGGGGTATATTGATGGCAATGGGATTCTCAGTCTCCATTACAAACAATCCCTTTCCCCCATTTAGGCTGTATTTAAATTTATGTTAGTAGTTTTGATTCTCTTTCAAATATAAATTGTAATTTGGATAAATAGAAACAAGGGCGAAATAAATTAGAGTAAAAATTGATTTACAAGTATCTTATCAAGAAGGGATCAAATATATAAATTGAATATAGGACTTATAGACAAGTAGTTTACAGTAATAGGTCTCGGCCGTCGAAACTAGTAGTTAATGTTGAGTACGGTTGTACGTGACCTTTTATTGGATACCCGAGAGATATCCAAACATATAAGAAAAGGTCTATCGTTAAGCCACTATAATGTTAGCTTGAGCATTAAAGTACCTATTCAGAGGTGAAACTGAGCTGTCAGACATACTTTTTATTAATAAATAAAGAAAACAACGAGCGACAATAATTTAAGCCCATACTTGTGTAGTGCTCAAGATCCGGCATTATAAGAATTTTAATAGAAAGTAAAATTATTCGCACTTGCAGTATTACCAGATTTGTAGATATATTATTGCAAATATACCAGAGGGAGACTTTGTACAAAAGTCGTTTGCTTGGGTACCTCTGTCCCATTCGTGTTTCAACCGTAAAGCAGTTGTGTTTGCATGGTTGTGTTTCGGTTTGAAGGGTGGGATATGGCGTGAATTTACTGGGTACAGAGGAATACTACCTGAGTGCTCAGGAATGGCAACGCATGGGGGTATCATGGGTGAAACAGTAT